TCTCAACTTATGCAATTCTTACATAATTTTCCATGATCTACTGGCTAAGTATTTTAGGAATAAGAAAAATCCCACCGAACGCTTATTCTACGGATTAGAGGAATTTTTAAAGGCTAAAAATTAAATAATTTGAAAGGTAGAAACTATAGTTACTTGTTTTTCTACTTAAGAGAGAATCCTGTTGGATTAGGGAGATGAAGAAAAGTGACTGGAAATAGGAAGCCACATTTTGTACATTTTTTTGGAATTTCAAAACACACGTTTTTGTCCTCTGCATAAAAGTGGGATGCAACAATAGGCCACTTACTTTCCCCCCACCCCCTTTTCTCTTTTTCCAGGCCATACGTCCGATCCAAGGGGCGAAAATTTGAACGAGCTCGAGGTCGTCGTGCCAGTCGAGGCTACAAAAACTAGAACGTTTGATAAAAAAATGTAAAAGCCACTGAGTCAAATTAAATTTTTTCCGCTCAAATTAATATTCTGACAGCATCAGTTTGTTTTGCTGAGAGTCCAGCAGGCAAAGGTTCTTTTGAGTCACAACAGAATTCGAGATTTCACTTTAAAATATATTCTTCTCCCAAGTAATCCTTACCGTCTGTAATTAATAATTCACATGGTAAGCAGGGTCGTAAAAAGGCAGTTATTGTAAGAAGTTTATGTTAGCTAGTTAAGGACTAGATAAGCATGATAAAAAGTGGCACTTTGGTGGTTTGAAAAACTTTGAAATTTCAATAAATTTCAGAACATAGAGATTTCCTTGGAAGATGTTTTTTTTTTTAAAAAAAATAGAAATAGCTGATCAATTTAATTTTAAGCACTAATTTGGTAGCCACTGGAGACCCAGAATTAAGAGGCAGTATCTGAAAATCCGTGTGAAAGAACAGATTGAAAAAAAAAAAGGAATGAAATTTACCACGTTTGAACCTGGAAGCTAAAACTGTTTGCTTTAAAAAGAACAAGATGATAAAAATACCCAGAGAACCAGTTTAAGCTACCAGGCTAGAAAAAAATAACTGAGTCCTAGTCCTGTCTTGGATAGGAAGCTAGCTGATAACCTGGGATCAGCTAGCCCTAGGAAAAATGCAGCATCAGACTGAAATAGTTGCAAAGAAAGCCTTAGGGATTTATCCAGGGAGTTACCAATAGTTAAAATTGACAAAAAAAAAGGCATGGGGAGGAAAAAAACCAAACCAAAAATTTCTAGGAAGGAAACTGGAAAGCATGACAAAACATTTAACAATTCATGAAAGCAATATGGGAAAGGTTTTCAAATAGAATTATTGGACTGGGTAGGTGACATGTGAATGTTGCCTTTATTTTATCCATGATCAAGGAAAGCAGAAAGGTTTTTGCTCCAAGGAAGAATTCATCGTCATCTCCGAACAGTCCTGTGATCAAAATGTTAAAAGTGAAATGATTATTAAAAGAAATGTCCTGAGAGTATAGGAATCTTTGCTCTAGGTTAGACCCATAGGTTCATGCAGCAGGCAGGCCAAGTAACAGGAGATGACCCAGGCCCTCCTCACTTGGTCTTCCATGTGCTGAGGGTGAACCAGGCGTAGGAAACGGAAGCCGAGGGCCTTGTCTGTCAGGCTATGTAAACTCAGTACCTGCCTCTTGGCAGCCTCTTGCTCAGCCGTCAACTCCACAGGTCCTGCCTGTAGGAATGGAGGCAGTGTGGGCAACTCGTGGTCTGTTCCTGTGCTGAAAGTGAGGAAGCCACTAGGTGCGGCCAGAGCAGACCCATGGATTGAATAGTGGGCCCGAGGACTCCGAGAGCCATATCGTTTGCCTCGCGTCCTTCCTTGGGCTTCGAAAAAAAGCTCTGCACAGTCCAGAGCCACCAGCATCATGTTGTGATGTCGAAGTTGCTGTTGTGGCTTGAAGGCATCTACATAGCGCTGGCTGAAGGCAACTGGAACCTGCTAGTGATGAGAAAAAACTCCATTTGCTGTAGGCCCACAGATTAAATAGGTATCTATAGTCACAAGATAGGAGAGGAGGTAGAATATGAGCTAAACTGGGTGGCTAGCAACATGAGCAATCGGGAGTCAGCTAAAAAGTAGCCTCTTGTTCCCACAGTGATAAATACTTTGGGCTTACTTTTGTCCCCCACAATGGGGGTTGAGAGGGCCGAGTAATCCTTTAGTTGCTGCACCCTAAATATTAATCTGTGTTTTCTAAACTTGACAACTTTAAGACATGTGGATTTCAATTCTTAACCCAGTGAACTGAATTCAAAGTTGAAACACTCATGTCTTAAAAGTGCCAAGTTTGAAGAACACTTAATTTGATAAAAGGAATATACAAATATAAGGGAATATGATTTACATTTAATTAAACGTTTTGTTTTGGCCCTGCTTATTTTTGGGAATATAGTCCTTGTTAAACCAAGGCTTAGTGTCACTGATCAGATATAACTAGATAGTTTGCAAGCTGTAGTGGATCACTAGTATGATTTGTGAATAGGAAATGCTTCACAATTGGAATGAAATTCTGTATTTACCCAATGCCCCAATTGCTGAGATGAGAGTCTCGTCTAAGCTTTCCTCCTCTTGATGCTTCTGTATAAATTTGATAAGGACCCTGATGCAGGATAGAACATATGCTGTCCAGGAAAATATTCAGTGACATTCAGAAAGTCATTAATTTGACCTTGTGCTAAGGAGTATCGATGAAGGTCTTGTTTTTATTTTGACTGATCAAGGAAGATTTGGAAAATGGGCATAAATACATAAAAGAGTCCAGGGAAAGGGTTTAACTCATTGAAATGAATAGAAAACATTTGTGGCAATTTAGTATGCTCCATTAATTTTAAGTGATACTTCAATATAATTCAGATTTGATGCACCCTACAGATCAAACAGAAGAGCCAGTTGGAGACTGGTTAAGCCACTGGATTAGCAGCCAAGAGACTTTGACTTCTAGTTTTGTCTTGAGTGCTAAGCTAGCTGGGTGACTTTCAGCCAGCCATTCATTCTCAGCCCGAGGAAGAAGGCAATGGCAAACCCAGGAAAAATGTTGACCAAAAAACTACAGGGTTTTCATCCAGGGAGTTGTCAAGAGTGGAAAACTGACTCAAAGCGCACACACAAATGGATCAAACAAGAAACAATTTTTTATTCATAATTCGAGGGATGGGAGTGTGCTGCAGCCTAGAGTTAGATCTTACAAGGAAAATAACAATTATGGGAGTTGGGTAAGTAGGATGCTACCTCCTTTAGTCTGATCCACTAGAGGGCACTGCATACCTGCATTTAAAGAAACTAATCCCTTCAGCTGCCATGAAGCAAGTAAAAGCTATGGGAGCTATATTTAATTCTTAACCTCAGCCTGCCTTCCCTTACTATTCCCCCGCCTCCCCAACATTTATTTATTCCTTGAACAAGTTTTTTTAAATGGGAGCTAGGAGAACTTATACTGACAATTTGTAAATCTGGTAGCATCTTTTTACAGCAGTATTTCTCAACCTTGGCAATTTTAAGATGGGTGAACTTCAACTTCCAGAATTCCCTAGCCATTCATGCTGGCTGAAGAATTCTGGGAGTTGAAGTCCATCGATCTTAAAAGGTTGAGAAACGCTGCTTTAAACTGTCAAAGGAAAAATTAAAGGCCATCACATATAGGGGGGGAAAGGTTTTTGAAGGAGCACATAGAATAAATAACCCAAGTGCATTTAACATCTAAGTATTCTTCCTCAGAGGCCACTTTGCTCACTTTCGTTTTTGTTAACACAAAATTCAACCTTTCAAACCTTTCATCTCCACAGGAAAGACTTTCCTGGAAGAATAATGAAAGGTCGCCTGATTTAAATGAACGACTTTTATGAACCTGAAAGGCAGATAATCCTCAGTATAAGAATTCCCCCCAAAAAGGGAGGAGGAAAAGAAAGATAAAATGCTGATTTCTCCATTTTAAGGAGAAGACCATTTGAAGGCTGAGAGAAATTCAGGTAAATACAATAGGCAGCCATTGAGGAAGACCAAAATCATCAGAGAGAGAGAGAGAGACAAGGACAGACAAGACAGCCTGAGGTTTTTCTATTGTCCTTCATTTTTTCTATGCTGCCTCAGTATCTGAACAGTTCCCACCTTTTTCAACTAGGAGACATTAGCTCAAGATGTTTAGGGCAGCTCATCTGGACTGGGATGAGGGAAGGAGAGAGGAAGGAAGGAAGGAAGGGAGGGAGAAAAGAAAAAGAAGGAAGCACTGGCAACAGCCACTCACCTGTCGTAGTTTCCGCTCCATCAGCTCCATCCAGGTCATCCAGTAGCGGCAGGCTGTGGATTCAGAGATACGGAAGCGAAAAGCCAGGTCCTGGAGAAGGAGACCCAAGCGCAACCGGACAAGCACCAAGAAGAGCTGGTTTTCGGAGCTGAGGGCACAGGCAGGGCCATTTTCCAGGCTCTCCCCCTCCAGGAGGAAGTCCAAGAAGGCCCTGAGGCGAGGGTATCCATCAAAGCCTGTGTAGAACCTCAACCACTTGCTGTGGGTGTTGACACCCTGCAGGGAGAAAACCTCATCTTGCACTCGGCCCTCAAGCTTCCCCCTCACTTGATCTTTCAGTGAGAGGGTGGTGGCACTGCGGGCATCCTGCTCCTTCTGCAGACATGGCCCCCGAGGCTCCCGCTGGTACTGGTTCCTGGCTTCAAGTTGAGAAACATGGGCTTCAAGATCAGCAAGAACATGGCATTTCTTGGCTTCTGCTTTTTCCTGGAAACAAGGGCAAAAGCCACATTTCAGGTTTTTTTTTTTCCTCTCCTCACCATCCCTGTGTTGGTATATTACATGCGGGGAAAGGTGCTTTTTCAAGAGGCAACTGGGCTTTTTCTGGTTTTTCTCTGAAGACGTTTTCCAAGAAGCTTCTTCAGCTGCTCTGACTGGATGGTGGGGAAAGGGGAAGGATTTAACATTTCTTGCAGACAGCTGGTCATTTGCATTATTTTAGAGAATAACAACTTGGTGGCTTGTCTGTGTCCTCAGGGTCACCGGAGAAGTGCAAATGGACGTGGAGACTTCTTGGAACTGCTGAGAGGATTGTGTTGTGGAGTTGTGCTTTCTGCAGGGTGTTTTCCGCTCTTGTGTCCCTTCACTGTTGAACAAGGGCACAGGCTGTTGGGGATGAATCCGTGTTGCCTCCATCTCAAACTGAGGAGCAAATGGTTCCTGCAGTCTGCAATTTTTCTGGAAATCCGTTCATACCCCTGCACTATTTGAAAGGTGTTCATCTTAAAGTGTATAACTAAATGTCTATGGAGCTTCTCAGCCATCCTGGCTATGATTGTCCCAAAGGTGCTTTTTCAAGAGGCAACTGGACTTTGTTTTCCTTTGAAGATGTTTCACGACTCAGGTGACCATGAGGACACAGACAAATGTCCAAGTGGCCTCAATGACTCTCCGGAAGGATATGAGAAAACACCTTTAGGGTATACATAAAGAGTATTAACTATAATAATTAGCACTATTAAAAAATT